CAGACCGGGGGGGGGGTTCAGGCGGTCCCCTCTGGGTCCGGTCCAGCGGCGGTTTGTCTAGATACTAAATGTATACTTTAGTATCTGGCAGTATACTAAACATATATTTTAGCCTATGCTGTAGTAAATTCAAATTTCATTGTATATCTTAGCCTATGCTGTAGTAAATTCAAATTTCATTTAGGTTGCTTAATTTGTAAGAAGGAAAACTTAATTATTATTGAAGTAAAAAAACTGATTTAAAGGAAAGAAATCTGATTTTTTTTTAAAACATTTATTTTATTTTTTTTTAATTTTATTTATAATCCACTCTGTATCCCAAAGTATAACTATGCAGGCTTAAAGATATTTATTCCCTTCAGAAGGCTTTCCTCAAGGAAATTACTTCTGTGTCAGGCCTGCTGTATAATTAGCCAGCATGATTCACCTCTCTGTGGTGCCCTTTATGCTTGCTGTAGAGACATATTTTTATAATTACCACCTAGTAGTAGCATCAGAACAAACAATTAATAAATTCCATATAATTGTTGTTGTTGGTGTCCCCTCTTTCTTCTCCCTCCTCCCTTACCATAATCATTACTTTATTTACTTGTTATATTCCTGAAAGGAAAAACAAAATTTGATTTCATTTGAAAAAAGTCAATTGCAAAAATGACTTTAAAATACAGTAAATATGTCTCTTTAAAGTTTGGACATTTAGTAATAATTCTCTAGTTTGATGTCAACTAATTATAGTGAAGGGAGGCTTAATTTTCATGTCCCAACTTAAAAACCTTTGTCCTATGATATGGTCTGTTAAGTGATGTGTAATGAGAGGGTTAAAGTTCAAGTTTCTCTGCTGAAGGCATCTGTTCCAGTACAAAAGTAGGAGAGCAGGGGTAGACAGGTCCCAAGTCATTTTGAGTATTACCAGTGAAAACTCACACTGTAGGCATAGACAGAAGTGACAATGTTTGCCTGATCTGACCCATGAAAGCTCTCTACAGCCATGACCAAGCAGAAGTGCACGGCTACAAAACTCTTTAAAAGGGCCCAATCCTGGAAAAATCTGAACCCTCGTTGCACGAGGGTTCGGATGTAGACATTTCAAAACAGTAACTTGTGTCTGTGCTCAGAGACAATCCCAGCTGAGTGCGGGGCCTGGGGCAAAGCAGCCTGCACAGGGCCCCTCTCCCCATCCTATGGCACACTTACACTGGGGAGTGAAAGCCCCGTCCCTCCAGATGCAATGGGACAGGTGGCAGCCAGAACAGGCAAAGAGCCGTACAACCCGCCGGGCAGGGGGGTGGCTTAAACTGCAGCCTCTCTGCCTGGCTCTGCAAGGCCCACCAAAGCTCAGCCCCCTAGGGACGGCCCTGTCTGTGCAGCTTGCCAAACTCTATCTGTTTTCAGAATGAGAGGGGAGAAAGGGAACAGAAGGAGTTTGGTCTGGGGTTTCTTCAGCTGGTGCTGGAGGGTAGGGCAGGTGTATTGGAGCCCGCTCCAGAGGTGGAGGGACTCCAGTCCACCCACCCCACGCCCCAGTTCTAGGGATTCCTCAGCCAGCTCAAGCTCCCTCCTCTTTCTTTCCCCTTCCCATTCTGAAAACAACATCTAGGCTGGGAAGGAGGGGAGGCCTACCTAGGGCCTCTAGGTGAAATGGGCTGCAGACTTACAGCCAGCAGCTGGATTCCCTGCCTCCTCCCTCAACCCAACAGTGAACTTCTGTTTGGTCCAGGGCACCACTGTAACTTGGAACGCTTCCTGCAAAGTGTTATGAGTTACAGAGGGGAGCTGTGCGGCGGGTGCAGAGATCCCACCTCAGGAAAACAGCTGGGTATTTGTATCCCACCACGATTTCCACCATGTGAGGTGGGCCAGTAGGAGGCACTCCTGCATTGAGCCGCCCACCTCCCTGCGCCTGCCCACCTTCCAGGCTCCGAATGCCTCCCTAGGGGCGCCTTATATCCGGCCGACCCCTCTCCCGGAGCACACTTGCTAGTCTGGGGGTAATGTGCCGTCACCACCCC